GCTACAGAACATCACCCCCACCCAGAAAGTTCCTCCACTCCCCTTTCTGGTCAATGGCAGCCCCACTCCTTACATAGACATAACCTCTTCCCATAAATTTTGCCTGTCTCTGGCCTTTAAACAAATGGAATCATAGACTATGTGTTCTTCTGCATCTACTTCTTTCACTCAATGTGTTTCTGAGATTCATCCATGTTACTATGTTCCAGTAGTTTGTACCATTTTATATTGTTATTACGATAAAAAATATACAGTATTCCACTGTGTGAATAGACCAGTATTTGTTTTACCCATTGTTTAAATCTATTTTATACTTTTAAATTACATGAATAAGACATTAATGTAATCTCATTATTAAAAAATCAAATACAGGGGCACCTGGCTGGCTCAGTCGGTGAAGCATGACTCTTGATCCTGGGATTGTGACTTTAAGCCCCATGTTCGGTATAGGAAAGCAAACAATTTAAAAATTTTTCAAATATAGGTAAGCTAAAATCTTTCCTTCCATCTATCTGGAATTCTAGCCCTCTTACAGAACCCAGTTTTAGCGTGAATTCTTCCAAATTGTGTCCTATGTGTTTACATTCACATATATAAAAAATAAAAATCTGATGTTTCTGAGCTGCCTGACTCAGTCGGTTGAGCATCCAAATCTTAGTTTCAGCTCAGGTCATGACCTTGGGGTCGTGAGATCAGCCCTGTGTCAAGCTCTGTGCTCAGCGGGGAGTCTGCTTGAGATTCTCCTCTCTCTCTGCTCCTCCTCCCCACTCTCTCCCTAAAATAAATATATAAATCTTAAAAACAAATCTGGTGTTTCTAATGTGCTAAAATATCTGAAGGTAAAACATACCACTTGGGATTTGTTTCAAAATAATCTGATGGAGGAAGGTGGGCAGGGGTACACATGAAATTAGAATGGCCATGAGCTCGTTATTGTTGACACTAACCAATGGGTACACAGTTCATTATACTCTTCATTTTTTTGGTCTGGAAATTTTCATAATTAAAACTTTTTTGGGGCGTCTGGGTGGCTCAGTCACTAAGCGTCTGCCTTCGGCTCAGGTCATGATCCCGGAGTCCCGGGATCGAGCCCCGCGTTGGGCTCCCTGCTCGGCGGGAGGCCCGCTTCTCCTTCTCCCACTCCCTCTGCTTGTGTTCCCTCTCTCACTGAGTCTCCCTCTGTCAAATAAACAAATAAAATCTTAAAAACTTTTTTATGGATAAAGAAAATGTGACACACACACACACGCTGGAATATTTAGCCATAAAAAAAAATGAAATCTTGCTATCTCCACAACTACATAGATGAAGCTTGAGAACGTAATGCTAAGTGAAACAGAGAAAGACAAATACTGTATAATTTCACTCATATGTGCAATTTAAGAAAAAACAAAAACGAGCAAAGAAAAAAAGACAAATCAAGAAACAGACTCTCAACTGCAGAGAACTGATGGTTACAGGAGGGGAGATGGGTGAGGGGATGGGGGGGATGAGGCAAACAGGTGATGGGGATTAAGGGGTGCACTTGTCATGATGAGCACAGGGTGATGTATGGAAGTGCTGAATCACTACATGGTACACCTGAAACTAATATAACATTGTATATTAACTATACTAGAATTAAAAAGAAAATGGTACCAGGGGAAAAAAAACTTAAAAAAAAAAAAGATAGCAAACTGAGTGTATCGTTTGGTAATTTACTTCTTGCACCGAACATGTCTTGGAGATCCTTGCATGCCCGCATTTACAGATTTACCTATGGTTTCCTATGACGTGGCTATACCACAGCCTCTTTTAAATACCATTCCCCTGGGCGCCTGGGTGGCTCAGTTGGTTAAGCGACTGCCTTCGGCTCAGGTCATGATCCCAGGGTCCTGGGATCGAGTCCCGCATCGGGCTCCCTGCTCTGAGGGGAGCCTGCTTCTCCCTCTCCCACTCCCCCTGCTTGTGTTCCCTCTCTCGCTGTGTCTCTCTCTGTCAAATAAATAAATAAAATCTTTAAAATAAATAAATAAATAAATAAATAAATACCATTCCCCTTGTTTTGGGAAACATAAAACTGGTTTCCATTTTTTCCCTACTGCAAAGGATGTTGCAATGAACGACCTCATACCTGCCTCCCTTGCATGCATGTGATGGTCCCCACTGAGGGTAGATGGAGAGAAGTAGAATGGTTAGGTCATGAGACATGCCAATTTTACATTTTATAAGAATGATGGAAACTGCCCTCCACCATGACTATCCCAGTGTATATTCTCAACAAGCAGTGCATGGGTTCATCTGCTTCACCACAGTACTGGACTTTTAACTTCTGCCAATGTGAAGGTAGGGAAGACAAATGAAAACTCAGTTTAGGGGCGCCTGGGTGGGTCAGTCAGTTAAGCATCTGCCTTGGGCTCAGGTCATGATCTCAGGGTCATGGGATCCAGCCCTATGACGGGCTCCCTGTTCAGTGGGAAGTCTGCTTCTCCCTCTCCCTCTTATTCCCCCGCACCGGACCGCCCACTCATGCTTATTCTCACTCTCTCTCAAATAAAATCTTAATAAAAAAAAAAAAAGAAAAAAAAGAAAAAAAAACTCAGGTTTACTGTGCATTTCCGCAATTACAAATGAGGCTATTTATATTCCCACTTCAGTGATATGACTTAACTTTTCCCACATTTCAAATGTACTATTTTTTTATTGATTTTTTAAAAAATATTTTATTTATTTATTTGACACAGGGCGAGAGATCACAAGTAGGCAGACAGGCAGGCAGAGGGAGAGGGAAAAGCAGACTCCCCGGTGAGCAGGGAGCCCTATGCGGGGCTTGATCCCAGGATGCTGGCATCATGACCTGAGCCGAAGGCAGATGATGCTTAACAAACTGAGCCACCCAGGCATCCCCCTTTTTTCTGATTTTTTAACAGGTCTTTAAATATTTTGTATTCTATCCTCTATTAGATATCTTACACTTTCTTCTTCTTTTTAAATTTATATTTTTCAGTAACCTCTACACCCAACATGGGGTTCAAACTCACAACCGTGAGATCAACAGTCCTATGCTCTTCCAAATGAGCCAGCCAGGCGCCCCACAAATACTTTCTTCTAATCACCGCTCATTTTTTGCCTTTTGCTGTACAAAATTTTCAAATGTTGGTACAATTAAAGGTATCCAACCTCTTCCATTATGGCGTTTTGTTTTGGGTCTTAAAAAGAAGTTTTTCTAGCCAAGATCATAAACATATTCATCTCTCTAGGGCACCTGGGTGGCACAGTGGGTTACACATCCCAACTCTTGGTTTTAGCTCAGGTCATGATCTCGAACCCCATGTTGGGCTCCACACTGAGCAGGGACTCTGCTTGGATTTCTCTCTTCCTCTACCCTTCCCCCAACTCATGTATGTGCGTGTTTTATTATTTATTTATTATTCTAATACATAAATCTTAAAAAACCAAGAAACATTCATATGTATTTTCTTCTAATATTTTAATTACGGAATGTCTTTTTAAATATATTTAAGACTTTATGTGGAATCTAGTCTTTTTAATTGATGCAAAGCAGAGAACTAAATTCACCTTTTTCCAAATGAAAAGCCAATTGCCTCAACACTATTAGCCCATTTCTTCCCTTTTGACTTGAAATACTATCCTTATCCGCTAATTTTAAAAAAAATCAAAGTGTTTAGTCTTTATTCTCTTCATTGATCCAGTGGCCTTCCTGGCTTAGTATCTTTTTTTTTTTCTCTTTATTCTAATTTCTATACTGGGTTAAGTATTATTTGATAGTTTTTTAACTTGAAGGTAAAAATACCTTTGTAAGTAACATAAGCGAAACAAACCTGTGAGATACTCTTAATGTATCAATACAGGATTAACTTTTAAAAACACAGTTGGGGGGCGCCTGGGTGGCTCAGTTGGTTAAGCGACTGCCTTCGGCTCAGGTCATGATCCTGGAGTCCTGGGATCGAGTCCCGCATCAGGCTCCCTGCTCGGCAGGGAGTCTGCTTCTCCCTCTGACCCTCCCCCCTCTCATGTGCTCGCTCTCTCTCATTCTCAGTCTCAAATAAATAAATAAAATCTTTAAAAAAAAAAAAAACACAGTTGGTTTATTGTGCATAGTCTGTCAATTAATTTGAGATCTAATTTAAAATCCTACATAAATGGCACCTGGTGGCTCAGTCAGTTAAATGCCTGCCTTTAGCTCAGGTCATTATCCGGGGTACCTGGGATCAAGTCCCGCACCAGGCTCCCTGCTCAGCGGAGAGTCTGCTTCTCCCTCCGGCCCTCCCCCCCCACTTGTGTTCCCTCTCGCTCAAAAATAAATAAATAAAATCTTTAAAAAAATCCTACATACCGAATACCATGAGATAAATAACAGTTTACAAATTTAACACCCAATAAGCCATTTTTGGCCAATAAGAACCACTGTATATTGAATTTAAGACGGCTTTAATCATAAGACATATCATGATTTTATGTCATTAAGAAAGATTAAACTGGGGTCACCTGGCTGGCTCAGTGGTAGAGCATGTGACTCTTGATCTCAGGGTCATGAGTTCAAGCACCATACTTGGCACAGAGCTTACGTGCTTAAAAATATATATATATATATATATGTATATTATACTCTCAACTCTACCAGTTGAACTGTACGATACTACAGATTATTAGATGCATCTCAATTTCTGAGATGTAAATATGGCTCTTAGGATCAATACTATAAGGAACATTTCCCACTATTAAGCCATGCAATTTTTTTTAAAGATTTTATCTGAGAGAGCGAGCACAAGCAGGGTGAAGGGCCGGGGGAGAAGCAGACTCCCTGCTGAGCAGGGAGCCCGATGTGGGGCTGGATCCGGGGACTCCAGGATCATGACCTGAGCGGAAGACAGATGTTTAACCGACTGAGCCACCCAGGTGCCCCATGCAGACAATTTATTAATGTCTGCTTTATTTAAGCCGAAACATGTCAGTCCTTTCATGCACGTCTATAATTTTCTAATGTAAAAGATACTCACATCATCACAAGACATATTGTATTCTGCTAATACAGTTCGACATCGAGCAGCTATACTGAAAAAAATGTGGTCAAAGGAAAATTTATCATATGAAGAATAAGCTTTTAAAACAACACCTAGATGATCAAGAAGGTGCTTTAATTTCATTCAAAGAATAAAAGTCAATTCTGGTAAAGGATACATTGATGGTGCAACGACCCTCTTGTGTATTCCAGCAAAGAACAAGCCTATTAGAGTGATACAGCTAATGGTGAAAAACGGGTGATTCCATAATGATGTGAAGAAGGACACCTGGAAAAGAAGAGTTTGAAATATAAAAACGTACAAAATCTCAGAACAATACTAATTCTTACCTCCCCACTTATGCATAAATATATGTCATCTGAAATATGAGGATCTGAAGAATTTAAAATAATCCTACTTCTGTTTTGCTGTTCCACAAAAATAAAAATATATGTTCCAAATCCTTAATGTAGCAAGATAATATAGCAATATTCCTTCCATTCATTTCAAAGACTTGAACCATTAAAAATTCATTCTTACAATCAAAAACCATCCTACTGAACACTTCCTGGTAAAAAAGAATTTAAAAAGCACAAGATTGGGGGCACCTGACTGGCTCAGTTGGTAGAGCATGTCTCTTGATCTCAGTGTTATGAGTTCGAGCTCCATGTTCGGTGTAAAGATTACATACATACATACATAAACACGTACATAAAAGCAGAAGACTGTAAATTCCACAAGAGTAGAGACACTGTCTTGTGCATCTCTGTTCTCCCAATATCTGAAATAGTGCTTGGCAAACATAGGTGCTCAATCAGTACTGTTGAATGAATGAAGATAAGGTCTCTGATCTGAGAGTCAATGAAAACACAGGTCAAAAGTGATCTAGTTATTAAAAACCTTCCTTGTAAGAGTCGGGTAGACTCTGCCATTCATTGCCTGGTCCCAGTCTAACCATCCCCTGCTGTACCCACACACACACAAGGTATTCCTTCCCTCCTCTCCTACGTGGCCTCGTAAGATTCAGTTCCAGTATCATCCTCCCCTCTCTGTGGACGCAAAAAGTAAGTTTGGTTCTGAAGCTACTGAGATTATTTTTTCAAAATATTTTATTTATTTGACAGAGAGAGAGAGTACAGCAGGGGGAGCAGCAGGGAGAGGGAGAAGCAGGCTCCGCTGAGCAGAGAGCTCGGCGTCGGGCTCGATCCCAGGACCCTGGGCTCACCTAAGCCGAAGACAGACGCCTAACCAATAGCCACCCAGGCACCCCAAAGCTACTGGATTTAAATGGCCAGACGACACTCAAGAGGGAAAGATGATTAGTACCTACCTATAAGGAAGGGGAGTTTAGGGGCACTTGATCCTGGGGTTGTGAGTTTGAGCCCCACATGGGGTGTAAAGATCACTTAGATAAAACTTTAAAAAGGGGGGGTGCCTGGGTGGCTCAGTCAGCTGAACATCCAGCTCTTAGTTTCAGCTCAGGTCATATTCTCAGGGTTGTGAGATCGAGCCTCATGTCGCACTCAGCTGGGAATCTGCTTGAGATTCTCTCTCTCCTTCCGCCCCACCCCCCGCTTGCAGGCTCACTTTCTCTCTCTCAAATAAAGACATAAATCTTTAAAAAAATGAGCGTTTAAGAGAAACAAAGAGCTAATTTCAGATCTGGGCATAATCAGATGATAGCAGGAAACAAGACAATGTGAGTATGTAGAGACAAGAGTCCAGGATCCAAGACTGGAACAAGAGTGGGCACTGAAGCCAGACTAGTGGGGAATAGCACTGTAGTTTAAAGAAGGAAAGATGTGTTTAGAGTCTGGAAAAAGAAATCAAACGGACTAGGAACTAAATGGGAGAAACAGAATTAATCCAAAGGCATCTATACTCCACTCTTATACCAAGAGATGCATACATATTTCAAGACAGAGAACTAAATTTGCAAAAAGCACCAGGTAGCTGGCCTAGCATGCTGTTGTTAAATAAGTCTGTCAAATGAAGAAACGAGAGGTTGAAAACATCAGGAGAGAAGAAGCTCCCAGAAGGATGAAATTCTGAAAAAAGGTTAATATTCCAAAGGAATGTCTTCTTAAAACCTTCAAGGACAGGGCGCCTGGGTGGCTCAGTCGGTTAAGCGACTGCCTTCGGCTCAGGTCATGATCCTGGAGTCCCGGGATCGAGTCCCGCATCGGGCTCCCTGCTCGGCAGGGAGTCTGCTTCTCCCTCTGACCCTCCCCCCTCTCATGTGCTCTCTCTCTCCTCTCATCCTCTCTCTCAAATAAATAAATAAAATCTTAAAAAAAAAAAAAAAAACCTTCAAGGACAGTTTAATTCCCACAGGCCAGCTAGATTTCATGCGGCCTGCACAATGTAACCACATATAATGTCTTATGCGTTAATTTTAATTAGACCAGTCAACATCAGCCTTCTTTCCTCCATGGCAATAATCAACTGCATCTAAATACCGTTCAGGCATTCATGTACTTTCCAGCTTGCTCTATTCCTTCTCTCCTTGGGTTCTTCCAGATAGTCATGCACTGGCTTTTGAGTCTGCAACTTCTGCTACAGACAATTGCTGTTTAAAACCCCTATCAGCTTTGAGGTTATTAAATACTGAAATAAAGAGTTAACCCTTAGGCTAATAGTTATATTCTCACCTAATTTAGAAAATTACATTAACTACAGAGTTTTGGGCCTATTTCAAATTACATTTAATTCTGTGTTTTATTAAGATCTCAACTAGCTAAAATCAGCTTATATTTTTCCCAATTAGAAGTCAGATTCATTTCCCAAGATAGGCTTTTCCAATCTTCTTGCCAGTCTCTTCACTCTTCCCCTGAAGATGAGCACCAAGCACAGCCTTAAGATCTGACTTTTATAAATGAACACACAAGAGAGTTTCCTATCTGCCATAAAAACCCCTCTGTTAACGTAAAATTCCATCACCAACGTCCCTTACCTCCTATTCTTTTATATCTCCACCCCAATGGATAAAGTCAGGGAGACTACATGCTAAATAAATCCTGGCTACCTGAATTGCCATTTGGACTGCTGACAAAAGCTTTGCTATTAGGTTTTTCTTCTGTATAACCTAACAGATTATAAATAAAGCGACTGGAAGTAGTCTACCTAATTAACAGTTGAAAAAGGGATGTGGGTTTGAGATTTGAGAAAATTACAACATCATTATTACCTAAATAAAGCTGCACTGAGGCAAAAAAACTTCACTGAAAAATTGGGAGACTACTGCTTCTCTAATAAAAAAACCTTAGTTTGAAATTAAGGCACAAGTTAGTAGAAAGCAGCAGAATTTTGAGAAACATGTTATCAGATTTGATCAAAGGATGCTTCGAGAAATAACATTATGAAATCTTTTATTGCATCTGGTACAGGGATGTTCTTGTACAGTGCCCAGTGGGAGCTCTCTCAGTGTTTCCTATATTAAATTTCAGGCAGGAAATTTTTTTTTTTTTTAAAGATTTTTTTAATTTATTTGAGAGAGAGAGAATGAGAGAAAGCACATGAGAGGGGGGAGGGTCAGAGGGAGAAGCAGACTCCCTGCCGAGCAGGGAGCCCGATGCGGGACTCGATCCCGGGACTCCAGGATCATGACCTGAGCTGAAGGCAGTCGCTTAACCAACTGAGCCACCCAGGCGCCCAGGAAATTTTTTTTAAAGATAAATGCGAATAACAAAATCTCTGCTAGCTTATGGAACTCATACATGTGTTCTTTTCACAGAGAGGAAAAACAATGGAACTAGCTGTGACTTTATTGATTAGGTAACACAGACTAATTTATAACTCATTTCTGGCAAGTGTGGTGGCCCACATGGCCTTGTCTGTGACCCGGTTTCCTTCCTGTTTTTGACCCTCTAGTCTAACCTTTTCTTCCCCCCCCCCCCCCGATCTTGACATTTTATTACATTAAAATTTTGCTGTTTTATCATATTTCCTGCAAAATCATTTCAAATGCTTTGTGGGATGACGAAAGTACTACCAAGATAAGTCATAGAAGAAAATGTTATTTTGGGTGCCTGGGTGGCTCAGTGGGTTAAGCGACTGCCTTCGGCTCAGGTCATGATCACAGAGTCCTGGGATCGAGTCCCACGCCGGGATCCCTGCTCAGCGGGGAGTCTGCTCCCTCTGACCCTACCCCCTCTTGGGTCCTCTCTCTCACTCAAATAAATAAATAAAATCTAAAAAAAAAAAAGAAAGAAAATGGTATTTTATAATTTTTAAAAGCTGGCACAGAAGATATTAAATGAACAACGGAGATGACAATTTTTACACTGAAATATGTACAAACTGTGAATATGAAATGTAAAAAGATATATAAGAAGTTCAGAAATGAATGAAAAGTAGTGTAAGGGGGTTATTTCTTAGGCCTTTTCCCTGTAAGATACTTAATCTACAACAGACAATCAAAATTTTTCTTAAGCAAATTAATGTAAGGCATATATTTAATATAATGATCAGTATCACTACTAGAAATAATAGGTAGCATTTAATACTTTACAATGAACAAAGCACTGCTACATTATCTCATTTAATCCAGTAAAGATTTTAAATAAAAACTTCTACCTTTTGTGTCTCGGGATCTATTAACCAGTTCCAGGCACCAGTAGCTGTACAGACAGATACCACTATAAGCAGCACTGATGAAAGATAAACACGAAATTAGTAAGGAATTAACTGTTAATAAATTTATACTAATACCACCAGTTCCCAATCAATGACAGCCAAAGGATGCAGCACTTTATTAAATAGAAAATGCATTTGACTGAGGAATTAGGAAACCTGCTGTACGACTTGAGGAATTCTCTTAAATACTATGAACCTTAGTAAGTAAGGATGATACTGTCCCCATTAGTACTTTAGTGAGAACTTACGAAGATAAATAAAATTAAGAGCAGCAGGAACTTTCAATGTGCTCTGTGCTGATTTTGCAGATCTTATAAATTCAAATTAAAAAACAAAAAAACACCTCTCATTTTCTACCATAAACAAACCAAACAATGACTCTTTTATGAATGCACTGAGAAATCCTGACTGGAGGATTTTGCCTTGCAGACAACTGCCTGCTGTTCAATTAAACAACGGCTGGTGTCAAGAACGTGGAACACACCAATCAGTACCAAGTTTTCTTCAGAGACTTAAAGGAAGATCAGGGTAGGAATTACAGAGGGTAGAACTCAGAGAAGTTTTTCTCCCCATTAAGCTAGAATTATTTTAGGAATTCTAAATAGATCCTAAATAAAACTTAAGAATGAATGACACAGAGCGCCTGGCTGGCTTCGTTGGTGGAGCGTGTGACTCTTGCTCTCAGGGCTGTAGGTTCAAGCCCCACGTTGGGTTTAGAGATTACTTTAAAACCTTAGGGACACTGGGGCATCTGGATGGCTCACTCGTTGCGCATCTGCCTTCGGCTCAGATTGTGATCCCAGGGTCCTGGGATTGAGCCCCTTGGCGGGCTCCCTGCTCGGCGGGAAGCATGCTTCTCCCTCTCCCACTCCCCTGCCTGTGTTCCTGCTCTCCGTCTCTCTCTCTCTCTGTCAAATAAATAAATAAAATCTTAAAAAAAAAAAAAAAAAGAAGAATTTAAAAAATAAAATAAAATCTTAGGGACGCCTGGGTGGCTAGGTTGGTTAAGCGGCTGCCTTCGGCTCAGGTCATGATCCCAGGGTTCTGGGATCGAGTCCCACATCAGGCTCTTTGTTCAATGGGGAGCCTGCTTCTCCCTCTGCCTGCAGCTTCCCCTGCTTGTGCTCTCTCGCTCTCTGACAAATAAATAAAATCTTTAAGAAAATGTTTTAAAAAAATAAGTAAACTCTTAAAGAAAAAAAAAAATTAAAAAAGGAATAAATAGTACTACTAGAAAATAATAAAGGGGCACCAAGACCTAGTTAATATTCTGGATATCAAGGTACTGTCCTTCAGTTAGGATACATACAGTTTTAAAATATAAAAATCAAGATTCACAGAGCAATAGAAACGTAAAACTTTATCTAGAATTCCTTGCGATATACTTTTAGAATAGGCAAATCACAGGAAAACAATTTCGTTTTAGTTATTTAAGTATAGAATCAAAATTTCAAAATGACGTTCTCAGCTCAGAATAGACTAAACTCAATTCCTTATAATGCTGTATTTCCAATAAGAAACAGTCATCCTACGTGGATTTTTCCTTTGGAAAATGAAGCAAAAGCAAAATCAAACCCACTGGCAGGGACCTCATACACAAATTTTTGACTGGTACGTTAAACAAACTGATGTCATTTATATGTAAGCACTGAGACCATGAATCACAGAAAAAGTACATTCACTATAAGATACCACAGCATCATACACATTTTAAAAGATTTTCAAGTAGCAGTGAAATAAGTTTTTAGGGGTAATTCCTCCCTTAAACCAAAGAATCTGAAAATATCATTACTTGTAAATTCTGACCAACCAGAACTCTCGCAGCATACAAATAAAACTTTGCAGACAGATCTAATAAAAATATCATGAAAAATCTTGACACAGAAAAAGACTCCTAACTTCAATAGTGCTCTCTGGTCCCACAAACTGAATTACACTTTGAAATAAAACATGTTTTCAACATGTGCTGTTGTACTTCCCTCTTGGCAGGAATTAAATTTTAGTAATACACATCCAAGAAACTAAGACTGGTCCCAGCATAAGTTAGCAAAGCATTTTGTTTGCTGAGGTCATCACATGTGCATTTATTTGCATTTCCTAAGTATTTCCACAGGGCAATAACCACCCTTCTTTCAAATCATACTTTGTAGTACTCATGACATTTTGAACAGTTATAATGCGAATTTATTACAATAGGCTGCAAAGCAACACAATCATGCTCTGCTAAAATCGACCAAGGGTAATTTCATAACTTTTGCAAGTATATGTTAAATATGATTTCCCTCAACAGAACTTTATTTCGATAGTTTATAGGCAAATTGTAAAACTGCTAAAGAACCTCCTGAAATTATTATGTGTGTCGTTTATCAATATTGTAGTACTTAATAAAAAGAAGTGCATGGGGCGCCTGGGTGGCTCAGTTGGTTGAGCGACTGCCTTCGGCTCAGGTCATGATCCTGGAGTCCCGGGATCGAGCCTCGCATTGGGCTCCCTGCTCGGCGGGGAGTCTGCTTCTCCCTCTGACCCTCCCCCCCTCATGTGCTCTCTCTCTCTCTCTCTCTCTCTCATTCTCTCTCTCAAATAAATAAATAAATAAAATCTTTAAAAATAAAATAAAATAAAATAAAATTCCTTTCTCTTGGGCGCCTGGGTGGCTCAGTCGGTTAAGCCACTGCCTTCGGCTCAGGTCATGATCCTGGGGTCCCGGGATCGAGTCCCGCATCGGGCTCCCTGCTCGGCAGGGAGTCTGCTTCTCCCTCTGACCCTCCCCCGTCTCATGCTCTATCTCATTCTCTCTCTCAAATAAATAAATAAAATCTTAAAAAAAAAAAAAAAAAGAAGTGCATGTATTTTAATGGAAAAATGAAAATCAACCACATGAAATACTGTTCTTTTAGCATGACCAGTTCCTTTTCTTTAGGATTTCTTTGGTTGGGGTGCCTGGCTGGCTCAGTCGGTAGAGCCTGCAACTCTTGATCTCAGGGTTGTGAGTTCGGGCCCCACACTGGGTGCAGAGATCACTTAAAAATAAAGTCTTGGAAAAGTTTTTTTTCTTTAGGATGCACTGTTTACAAAGTTAAATAAATTTAAAAATTGTCAAAACAAAAGGAAATCTTACGGTTTAGTAAAGTGTTTGTTAGTAAAAGATTTTACACAAAAGCAAATCATTGCCAGGCAGGGATAAAAGTACCAATTATCCGTTTATTTTCCCTTAAAGAAACATTCAAGAACTTACTTCTCCAACGTCCAGTGGCAGGTTGCAAACAATGAATATATTCTGTAAGTCTCCTCTCAAAAGCCTTGAGATCTAGGCAAAAAGATTTCAATTTTCCAATTAGCCACTCTTACTAGTTTGCATCCATTAAGATGGAATTTTAGATACTCTAACTGCTTCAGGTCTTACACACCAACTTACATGTATCACTGCACTGTTTACTTCCTTTACTATGACAGCTTTAAGCACTTGACAAAAACATTAGGTTTCTTTAATTCCAATTTCACATATAAGGAAACTGGCTGGTTCACTTTTAGAAGCTTCGCAAAATGGTATGTGGAAAATCAGCAGCAGCCTCAGCCGGCGCCAAAAGCTAGAATTTTGGGGGTTGCAAATAAAAGGATCAAAATCAGGTCGAGTTTTAATTCTGTTGGAACCAAGAACTTTCTATTAGACGACGTATTCCCTAACATCAAAGTCTTCGAGGTCTGTTTGACCGCAGTGACCCGATTCCGATTTCTAGCCCTTATGTTTAATTAATGGCTACGCTTTCCGTCTGGTCCTACCGGATTTCTGATTCGGCTAACGGGTGGGTGTGGACACTCCCCTTTCCCCCCTCCCACAGAATGGGTTACAGGTGATCTTCGGGGCACTACCGGAGCTCAAGCTCGGAGGCCTTCTCAAAGGGGCGTCCAAGGTGCTCCTGAGTGAGCACGGTGGGCTATCATTCCACAGTTGCGTCTTCTGAACTTTAAAAGGAGATCAAGAGGCCCTCCCTTACTGTGGCAGTTAACCAGAAACCACAACAGGCATGAGGATACAACTCCCGGGGTTATCGAAATAAAATAAAGTGAATTAGCATACACAAAGCGCAAAATGCTTGCCAATGAATAAAAGACAAAGTAGCCCAGGCGAGGGGCTCCCGCTCGGAGCTGGGGGGATGGGAGAGCTGACGCAACGTCCCCCAGCGCCCGCGGAGGCCGCGCGCGCCGGAACCAGAGTCCGGCCGCCTCCGGCCGCCCCTCGGCCCGGCCCCCGCGGCCCCCGCGGCCCCCGCGGCCCCCGCGGCCCCCGCGGCCCCCGAGGTCCCGGCCCCTTCAGTCCATCCTTCGCGGCCTCCTCTCCCCGGGGCGGGGTCTCCGCGACTCCAGCCCCTCCAGAGCCTCGCCGGCTTCCGGGAGGAGCCCGGGACTGCCCGGGCGACCCAGGAGACCCACTCTACCTTCCGCCTGCTCCAGCGAGTTCATGTCGGGCGGCAGCTCCGGTCACCGCCGCGGTGCCGTCCGCATCGCAGCCCCGCGGCCCCCGCCCGGCCCGCAACGCCAACTCCCACCTCTAACGGCTTCCCTCCGCCCCTCCCCGTCGCACCGCCCCTTGCCTACACCCGCTACGTTCATTGGGCATCTCTGCCGGACCCCACAACTAAGACGGCCTTCTATTGGTTAGCTACTGCACCGGCCGCGGGGCCTAGCGTTGGACGGTCTGCCGGAGGGACCAAGAACTGCCGGCGGCCGGGCTGGTGTAACTCTGGCGCCGCCTCCTGCCCCGGGGAGGAACTGCAGCCTCTCCGAGCCAGCTCGCTCAGAAGTATATTCTTCGTTTCCTGTCTGGTTCTTTCATTCCTCAAATATTTGAGCGCCCTTTATCTTCCGGGCAGTGTTCTGATCGCTGACGAGGAGTACAGAAAGGAAGGAGCTAGCTCGCCCCTCTAGGATTCAACGGAGTACAGAACTAATTAGAGCCCAAACCATTGATTTAGGTTAGATTACCTCTTTCTTTGATAACCAAACTCCTTAACCCATTTCTCCCTTGGTTACTTTTTTCTCACGTTACCCAATTTTCCCCAAGTTACCAACTTTCATAAATCATAAAGAAGGCAAACAAAGGGCGCCTGGGTGGCTCAGTTGGTCAGGCGACTGCCTTCGGCTCAGGTCATGATCCTGGAGTCCCGGGATCGAGTCCCGCATCAGGCTCCCTGCTTGGCGGGAAGCCTGCTTCTCCCTCCGACCCTGCCCCCTCTTATGCTCTCTCTCTCTGTCTCATTCTCTCTCTCAAATAAATAAATAAAATCTTAAAAAAAAAGAGTGCTTACTCCCAAGAGTGGTTTGGGCAATTAAATGAGACAATAAGTATAAAGCTTGGCATGTGCCTAGCACCCGGGAGGAGAGACACTATTAAAAAAAAAAAAAAAAAAGGCAAGCAAAGTATGAGCCCCAGTACCTAGAACTTAAAAAAAAATCTGTAAGGTACTGACTACCTTTATATTTAGTCAAAATGCTTCTTGTTTATTTCCTTGTGGTCATTCATTCATTCAAGAACTACTTATTGCACGATGTTCTAGGCACTGTATTTTATCAGGATACAGTTATGAGCAAGATAGAGGAGATCCCTGTCCTATTATAGCAGGCAATAAACATACAAATAAGTAATGCAACTCTTGATCTTGGGGTCCTGAGTTTGAGTGTGGCGTTAGGTGATAGGGGTACGGTTTACTTAAAAAAAATGCAAATAAGTAATTGTTTTCAGATAAAGATAGTTGTATGAAGGAACTAACAGGGTAATGCCATACAGTGAGCTAAAGGAGGGGTAAATAAATTTAAGCCCTAAGTCAAACTATCAATTTTCACTTCTTGCTCAATGCTCCATTTCTCCATCTCCAAGTCTTGTTCATCACCTCTCCCTTTGGCACCCAGCACTGTTAGAGAATGGTTATTGAATATCTGTTATAGGCTCTCCTGGGCAAGATCCTGGGGAGATGAGGAGTGAGGCAGACTGATGAATAGGACAAGTACAACGTATTGTGATAAATGGGAGCTTTGCTAACTTGCCTTCAAAAGAGACCTGTTGGGGCACCTGGCTGGCTCAGTAGGTGGAGCATGTGACTCTTGATCTCGGGTTGTGAGTTTGAGCCCCCACATTGAGTGTAGAGATTACTTAAATAAATAATCTTAAAAAAAAAAAAAAAAGCCAAAGAGACCTGCTAACTGCAGGTCTTCTGTTTGCCTGATGGGGTATGCAAGTTTCTAGCAAGAGCCTGGGACAACAGAAGGAAGACCAATGACTATCTCATGGGTGCTCCCTCTCCTCTTTCATTTTCAACTGTGCTCAAATAAATATTGAGCGTGTCTTTGAAAGGGTATACATTCTTAGCTTGTCACCAGCATCTACGTGCATGGATTATGGGGGTTAAGTGGCAGTAAAGGAGGAGAGGAAGAAAATGGGCCTCATAGTCAGGTTAAGAAATTTGGAACCCAAGGTATTGGGGAGACCAAAGGATAATAGATTTGTAAAAACATTGTATCAATGAGATTTGGCAAGAAGATAGTCAACAAGTACTTAAGTAATACATGTTCAGGCACTGGGACATAAACTGGGAATGCAAAGATATCTACAACTAACTCTTGCCCTCTGTTAAGAGTAGAGTTCCGTGTAAAAACAAGATAAAACACCAGCTCCTGAAAACATTAGGGATGAGATGAAGATCCATTTTGAAGAGGGAAGTCCAGGACAATAGCTAAAGTTTGTTATATTTTCCTAGGGGGTCTGGCATGACACCTTTTATAGTTCAGGAGTGTTATAGCTCCTTTAAACCCTATACCACAGCTCTGAGTCCAAGAGTGTCTATCAAACCCGTTTCAGAGATGAGTTGATAGATGAGCAAATAAATAGATCAACTCCAACCCTGTAGCTGGAGTTATTATTGACCTTTCTCTCTCTCTCCTTCTGCAAGGTACATCAGATCACTTAGCAAACCTTGTTGGCTCTGCCCTCAACTTATATTTAAACTAAAACCACTACTTCTACTAACTACATCCACTCTGGTCCAGACCATCATAGAACCTGGGTTTGCTTCAATGATCTCAACTGTTCCCCTGCTTCTACCCTCATCCCAAGCAGTGGTTTGTGAAATACTGAAACATCACATTATTCTTGTGTTCAGAACCTTCCCATGGCTCCTGAAAGTAACTGCAGTAATAATCTTCATAACTTTTCCATGGCTATACCTTCTAAAATGATTCTGACAAGTTATATGCCTCTTCATACACTTTTATTTTTTAAGGTTTTATTTATTTTTAAAGTAGGCTCTACACCCAATGTGGGGCTCAAAATCACAACCCTGAGACCAGGAGTTGCAAGCTCTACCTACTGAGCCAGCCAGGCACCTCATCCTCATACTTTTTTTTTTTTTTTAGGATTTTATTTATTTATTTGAGAGAGAGCACAAGCAGGGAGAGGGAAAGAGGGAGAGGGAGAAGCAGACTCCTCTGCTGAGCAGGGAGCCCAACGTGGGGCTCAATCCAGGACCCTGAGATTATGACTCAAGCTGAAGGCAGACGCTTAACCGACTGAACCATCCAGGACCCCCTCATACATTTTTATTTATTTTTAAAAATTGGGGCACCTGGGTGGCTCAGTCAGTTGGGCATCTGCCTTCGGCTCAGGACATGATCCCAGGGTCCTGGGATCGAGTCCCGCATCAGGTTCCTACTCAGCGGGGAGCCTGCTTCTCCCTCTGCCTGCCGCTCCCCCTGCTTGTGCTCTCTTTCTCTTGGTCAAATAAATAAATAAAATCTTAAAAAAAAAAAAGTTCTCTTTCTCACTGTCTCCCTCTGCCCCTCCCTCCCCAACCCCCTGCGATCCACTTTCTCTCTCTCTAAAAAAAAAAAAGATTTATTGTCTCAGAAATTTCTAGTATACAATACAGTATTATTATTGTTATTATTTTTTTTAAGTAATAACCCAGCGTAGGGCTCAAACTCAGACCCTGAAATTAAGAGTCCCACGCTCCGGGGCGCCTGGGTGGCTCAGTTGGTTAAGCGACTGCCTTCAGCTCAGGTCATGATCCTGGAGTCCCTGGATCAAGTCCCGCATCGGGCTCCCTGCTCAGTGGGGAGTCTGCTTCTCCCTCTGACCCTCCCCCCTCTCATGCTCTCTGTATCTCATTCTCTCTCTCTCAAATAAATAAATAAAATCTTAAAAAAAAAAAAAAGAGTCCCACGCTCCACTAACTGAGTCAGTCAGGAGCCCCCAATACAGTATTATTACTTATAATTGCCATGCTGTACATCAGATCCCCAGGACTCATTCATCTTATAACTGGACATTTGTACCCTATCCTCAACCCTGCTCCATTCCACCTCCAGCCCCTGCTACTATTTAAACAAATAACTGTCACTGAGGATGTGGAGAAATTGGAACCCTTGTTGGTGGGAATAGAAAATGGTGCAGTTGCTGTGGAAAACAGTATGACAATTCCTCAAAAAATGATCCACAATTGAGGCACCTAGGTGGCTCTTGATTTTGGCTCAGGTCATGACTGCAGGGTTGTGGGACTGAGCCCCATGTCGGGTTCTGCATTCAGTAGGGAGTCTGCTTGTCTCTCTCCTTCTGCTCCTCCCTTGCTCTCTCTCTCTCTCAGACAAATAAATAAAATCTCAAAAAAAAAAAGATTCACAATAGCCAAAAGGTAGAAACAACCCAGGTGTCCATTGACAAATGAAAGAGTGAGCAAAATGTCATGTGTATATATACTTGGAATATTATTCAGCCTTAAAAAGGAAGGAAATTCTGACTGTGCTATAAGATGGATGAACCTTGATGACCTCACACTAACTGAAATAAGCCAATCACAAAAAGACAAATACTGTATGTTTCCACATAAACGAGGTACCTAGAGTGGTCCAGTTTATAGAGGCAGAAAGTATCTGGAGATGGATAGAATTGGTCATTGCACAACAGTGTGAATGTTCTTAATACCACTGAACTGTATACTTTCAAATGGTTAAGATGAGAATTTTATGTGTATTTTACCAAGATTTCAAAAATAAAAAGGGGTGCCTGGCAGGCTCAGTCGGAAGAGCATGTGACTTGATCTCGGAGTCATGAATTTGAGCACCATGTCAGGTGCAGAGATTACTTAAATAAATAAAACTCAAAAAAAATTTTTAAAGTATAATAACTGATGTGGGAAACCAAGGCAGAAGAAAAACTATTAAATTCCCTTATCACTCACAGCCCACTGACAAGTCCCTACAACAGGCAGAATGACATTCCTCCAGGAGCTCAGCTGCCTCCATCCTAATACCTTGCTAAGGGCAAAAGGCAATCTTATCCTGACACCCCCCCCCATGCACCCCACCCCTGCCCAGGATCTTGTAAGTCTATTTTAACATATTTAACAAATTCTTTTGGAAACTTCCTTTATCTCTACCAACCCCCCACCCCAAGATATATGTTGGCAGTCATCCCCCAAGCATATGGCCCACCAATATACATCTGAAGGGTCTCATGACGAAGGTTTTCTTAGTAATAAATGACCCTTTCCCAACAATAGCTAGCCCCTTTAAGGTCCTGGAAATCTT